GGGGTCCCAGGATCGAGTCCCACATCGGGCTCCCTGCAAGGAGCCTGCTTCTCCCTCTGCCTGTGTCTCTCCCTCTCTCTCCCTCTCTGTGTGTATCTCAAGAATAAATAAATACAATCTTTAAAAAAATTTTAAAAATTAAAAAAAAGAAAAAATAAATGAATAAAATCTTTAAAAAAAATAAAGAATAAAGAAATAGACATGGAGATGACAAGTACTGGGGGAAACGCCTCCGAAGGGCAAAGGGCTTGGGAATAGGAGGTGGGGAGAGGCTTCGGACCACTTTGCAGGTCGAACACCTGGAAAGGAGTGGGGCATGCAGGAGGATCGGGTAGGCAGGGTCTCAGGCTTCAGAGCAGCTCTGAGAAAAAAACCTGCTGGGCTCCTGGGGGGCCCCGGAGCCATAGCCACCCACTGGAGGAGTCCCCCAGTTCACTGGAATGGGCCTTAGGCCTGCCACCAGGCCAGCCACTGGCTGAAAGCAGCCCATGAGAGGCACAGCTCAGTGAGAACGTGGTGGGGGATCTGGAGAAACGACAGCTGTGGCCGTCAGTCAATTCCGGTCCCCGCAGATCCGAGCGGCACATTTTCATGCCGGCCACAGCCACTGACAGAAGGTTGGCCACACCCCAAGGATACAGAGCCAAAAGCATGGATGCCAGGATCTGTCACCTTGATGCCGGGAGAGGGGGTGGGCCCACAGCCCCCCTGAGTGAGCCTTCATACATATGCAGGAATAATAGAGCAGTGGGCCTTTACGTACACCCAATGCATAGTCAGTCAAAGCTCCACCATCACAGATTTACTTTCAAGCTTGTGAATTTCTTTCTCTTTTTAAAGATTGTATTTATTTATTTGAGAGAGAGAGAGAGAGAGAGAGAACAAGCAGGAGGAGTGGCAGGCAGAGGGAGAGGGAGAAGCCGGCTTCCTGCTGAGCAGGGAGCCAAATGTGGGGATCGATCCCAGGACCTTGGCCAATATCATGACCTGAGCCAAAGGCAGCCACTTAACCCATTGAGCCACCTAGACACCCCTCAAATTTGTGAAGTTACTTCCAGGTCTTACCATGGCTACATCATTGCAATTGTCATACAAGTAGTACTTCACCATTTTCTAAAGATTTGATACTTATAACTAATGTTTCTACCTTTCTGTCAGAATCTTCATAATTCTACTTTTTGGTGACCAAACAATATTCCACAGATGGACAGACCACATTTCCTAAGTCATGGCTGTTCAACATTTCCTGTTTTGATTTTTTTAAAAAAATTACCATAGCAAATGCTCTTCTGTACATCTTTGGACATATACTATTTGGTTTCCATTGGGTTATAGCTCCAACATAAGTTTCTAGGTTTCAAGTTACTGGCTCAAAAGATAAAGTTTTGTGATTCTATTAAGTTTTGCCCAATTGCTTTCTAAACACATTATATCCATTACTTATCTGTTGCTATACAAAAAAAAAAAAAACTGTAAAACTAAGTGATTAGTGCAGCTCACTGCTTTATCGTCTTGCTGCTTCTTTTTTTTTTTTTAAGATTTTATTTATTTATTCATAAGAGACACACAGAAAGAGAGGCAGAGACACAGGCAGAGGAAGAAGCAGGCTCCATGCAGGGAGCCCGGCGTGGGATTCGATCCCAGGACTCCAGGATCATGCTCTGGGCCAAAGGCAGGCGCCAAACCGCTGAGCCACCCAGGTTTCCCAAGTCTTGCTGCTTCTGTGGGTCATGGATCCAAGCACAGCTTAGCTATGTCCTCCACTTAAGGGTCTGTCACAGGTTACAATGAAGGTGTTGGCCGAGGTTGAAGTCTCTTCTAAAAGCTTGACTGGGGATGGATTATCTTCCAAGCTCACTCAGTTGTTGTCAGGATTCAGTTCCTTATGGGCTACTGGACTGGGGGCCTCAGTTGTTAGCTGGCTGTTGGTTGGAGGCTGCCCTTAGTTCCTTGCTATGTGGGCCTCTCCAATATGGCCACTTGCTTTATCAAAGCATGCATCTAAGAAGACAAGAGTCTACTAGCAAGACAGTCATCACAGAAGTGATAACCGTTGCTGTATTCTATTGTTTTGAACCTTGAGGGCAAGGGAAGAGGATGACAGCTCTTGCAAGGCCAAGCGCTCCCAAGTGGGGACCATTGGGGGCCATCTTGGAGGCTACTACTACAAATGTCACTAAGAGCATATGCTTATACCAATTTTCCCACAGACACTCTAGCACTGAATGTTCTAGTATTTTAAAATTACCAGTAGGGAAGGTGTAAAAGACTATCTCCCATTTTAATGCCCTCTTCTCTGGCCTGGTATCTACCCCAAGGGTCCCTCTGCTCTCAGATGCTGCCAAGTAATTTCCCAAGAATTGTCAGCCAGTAGCAACTAAGACAGTTGAGGAACTGCCCTAATTGGGACATGGAAAAGCTGTAAATGCACATGTGTAGTAGGCAGCAGTGAGTCCCTGGGGAGGGTTCCGGTATCAAGGAATTGCTGGTATTTGGGCAGCAACTCCAAGGTCTGAATACCCTGGTCAGTACCTGTTCTACTTAAAAGCACAGAAAGTTAGGAGACCAATCTTCTTTTAAATCTTACTATATAGGGGTGCCTGGTGCCTCAGTAGGTTGGGTGTCCAAATCTTAAATTTGGCTGGATCTTATCTCAGCTTTGAGCGATCTCTTGGATTGGGCCCACCTGGGCTCTGCACTCAGCAAAGTCTGCTTGTCCCACTCTCTCTACTTCTGCTGTTTCCCCACCCATACTCTCTCTCTCTTAAATAAATGAATAAATAAATAAAACATTTATTTCAACAAAAGCTTACTATATAGGCTGGGCTCCAGCTTCCCATCAGCAGAGGACAAGGTGGTATGGACAGCAGTCCAGCATCCTGTGCCCTGTCCACCTGCCTGCCATGGCCCGATGAGCAGCCTCCATGCAGGTCATCAGGTGTGAGGCGGTTGGAGATGGAGCTGTACTTAAAACCTGCCTACTGGGACGCCTGGGTGGCTTAGTGATTGAGCACCTGCCTTTGGCCCAGGGCATGATCCTGGGGACCTGGGATTGAGTCCTGCAACAGGCTCCCTGTGTGGAGCCTGCTTCTCCCTCAGCCTGTGTCTCTGCCTCTCTCTCTCTGTGTCTCTCATGAATAAATAAATAAAATCTTAAAAAAAAAAAAAAAGAAACGCTGCCTACTGATCAGTTACAAAACCAAAGCATTTCCTGGGGAATATATCCCCAGTCTTTGACAACTACTTTGTCAGTGTGATGGTAGATGGAAAACTGGTGAATGTGGGCTTATGGGATACAGCTGGACAAGAAGATTATGTCAAATTAAGTCCCTTATCCAATCCATAAACAGATGTATTCTTAATTTGCTTTTCTCTTGTGAGTTCCGCATCATTTGAAGATGTTGGAGCACAATGGTATGCTAAAGTGTGACACCACTGTCTCAACACTTGCATCATCTTAGTTGGGACTAAACTTGATCTCAGAGATGACAAAGACATGATTGAGAAACTGAAGAAGAAGCTGACTCCCGGGCAGCCCCGGTGGCTCAGTGGTTTAGTGCCGCCTTCAGCCCAGGGTGTGATCCTGGAGACCAGGGATCAAGTCCTATTTCGGGCTCCCTGCATGGAGCCTGCTCCTCCCTCTGCCTGTGTCTCTGCCTCTCTCTCTCCGTATCTCTCATGAATAAATAAAATCTTAAAAAAGAAAAAAAAAAAAAAGAAGCTGACTCCCATCAGCTACCTTCAGGGTTTGGCCATGACTAAGGAGATTGGTGCTGTAAAATACTTGGCACGAATGCCTGGCTCTCATGCAGCGAGGCCTCCATACAGTGTTTGATGAAGCTATCTGAGTGGTTCTCTACTCCACTCCTGTCAAGAAGAGGAAGTGCCTGTCCTTGGAAATGTCTGAGCTCCTCTCCTGCCCTGTTTCCTTCAGAGCCTTTGTGTGTTTTGCTCAAAAATGGCAGTGGCTTTGCACTCATTGCCAAGTTTTTGTTACAGATTTTGTTACTTTTCCCATAAAACCATTTTGAGCCAATCAGTAATTTTTACATTTTTTAAAAAAAGATTTTATTTATTTGAGAGAGAGAGAGTGCATGCATGAGAGAGAGCATGAGCAAGGGGGAGGGGCAGAGAGAGAAGCTGACTCCCCACTGAGCAGGGAGCCCAAGGCTTGGGACTGGATCCCAGGACCCAGGGATCCAGACCTGAGCTGAAAGCAGATGCTTAACCGACTGAGCCTTCTAGTTAGCTATCTTAAAGCCATCTTTTTCAACAGCCCATATTCTTGTTCAGATTAAGAGTTGCCAAAATATCTTGTGAACTAAGTTGTATTGTGCTGAGAAAAACTATTCAAGATCTTTGTCTTTTCTTTAAGAAGAGATTGCAGGGGCAGCCCTGGTGGCTCAGCGGTTTGAGCGCCGCCTTCGGCCCAGAGAGATCCTGGAGACCCGGGATCGAATCCCACGTCGGGCTCCCTGCATGGAGCCTACTTCTCCCTCTGCCTGTGTCTTTGCCTCTCTCTCTGTGTCTCTCACGAATAAATAAATAAAATCTTAAAAAAAAAATAAGAAGAGATTGCAGTGGGGGCCCCTGGATGGCTCAGTTGGGTTGCACCTCCAACTCTTGGTTTCAGCTCAGGTCATGATCTCAGGATCATGAAATGCAGCCTTAAATTGGGCTCCATGCTCAGTGGGGAGTCTGCTCTTTGTTCTCTGCCCATCCCCTCAACCCCCCACAGCTGAGCTCTCTCTCAAAATAAATAAAATCTTTTTAAAAAAAAGTGCCTGGGTGGCTCTGTCAGTTGAGCATCCAACTCTTGGTTTGGCTCCTGTCATGATCTCAGGGTCAAGTGACTGAGCTCTGAGTTGGCTTCCCTGAGGCTAATGTTTCTCCCTCTCCATCTACCCCTCCTGCCTTGCACTCTCTCAAATATATATATATATATATATATATATATATATATATATATAATTTTTTTTAAAGGACTTCAGCGCCTCAAGCTGGAAATGGAGACCCTTCCTAGCTAGTTTCTGATAGGTAAGCAGCACAGCCTCCTTCATGAAATGCTGCCCTCTGATGCACCTGTAATTTATCGGCCTGTGTCCATTTCCCTAAGGACTGTACTGTAGGTCAGAATGTAATGAGTAGAATGGCTCAACTCTTTGGATCAATCTTTTTTGATTTTGTAGTGAGGCTTTTAAAAAAAGTTAGTGCATTCACCTTTCCTGAGATTTTGAGCAGACCTCTTATTCCATGTCCCTCTGATGGAGTATCTGCTCTAGCTGTGGGTGTATGGGAGTGTGTGTGCAGCATGGGATGTGATCAAAGAATGAGGACAGTATTTTGACAAAATATGGAGGTTAAGTTACAGTACATTGTACATGTCATAATTAAAAAATTTTTTTTAAAAGATTTTATTTATTTATTTGACAGAAAGAGCATGGGCAAGAGGAGTGGCAGACAGAGGGAGAGGGAGAAGCAGGCTCCCCTCTGAGCAGGGAGCCTGATGCGGGGCTTGAACCCAAGATCCTGGGATCATGACCTGAGCAGAAGGCAGGCACTCAACCAACTGAGCCACCCTGGCGCCCCCATAATTAAAATTGAGTAAAAGTGTCACAGGTAAATTTTTAAAAGGTTAATTTCTGTCAAATGCAGTAAATAATAAAGATCATTATCACCAAAAATAAAATAAAACTTACTATATACTCTTGTTGGGCTTCACATTTTGCAGACTTTATTTTCCTTTCCTTATCAAAGCAATGCTGTAAGCTACATGTTAATATCTCCATTTAATAGAGAACTTGGGGGCAGCCCCGGGGGCTCAGGGGTTTAGTGCCGCCTTCAGTCCAGGGCATGATCCTGGAGCCTGGGATCAAATCCCACGTCGGGCTCCCTGAGTGGAGCCTGCTTCTCCCTCTGCCTGTGTCTCATGAATAAATAAATAAAATCTTAAAAAAAAAAAATAGAGAACTTGAGGACAGAGATGTGAAATCACTTGGTCAAGGCCCCTCTGCTAAAGTGGTAGGACAGCATTTGAACTCACAGCTGGCTGCCCAGTCTGTTCTCTCTGCTTCCTAAGGTAAGCTGTCCCCAGCTGGGCCCTCCGAGGGCTCTGTAACACTTGACCCTTCCACCCCATTCCCACCAAATCTGATACATTGGGTGTCTCTTTCCTTTTCAGTTAGCTGAAAGGGTCTCCTCTGGAAGTTCTAGAAAGGTCTGCTTGGTGACCATTTTTCCTGATGAGAGATGAGACAGGAAAGTCACCTTTAACCAGCAGGGGAGAAAGGCTGTAGAGGCCACAGTACAAATTTCCATGATAAAAACCCTCAGGATAGGGACACCTGGGTGGCTCAGTGGTTGAGCGTCTGCTTTTGGCTCAGGCACTGATCCCGGGGTCTGGGATGAAGTCCTACATCGGGCTCCCTGCATGGAGCCTGCATGGAGCCTGCTTCTCCCTCTGCCTATCTTTCATGAATAAATACATAAAATCTTAAAAAAAAAAAAAAAAAACAACCCTTAGGATAAACAGGACAATGTAAATCAAGGCTTTGTAAGGGGATCAGGAACCAGGGTGCTGGCTTCAAATCCTTGTTCTGTCACTTTCAGAGCTTCATGGTTTGGGGCCCATTTCTTCACATTTCTGTGCAACTTCCTTGCCTGTAAAATTGAAATAACATTACCAGCTACCTGTTCCAATTTGGGGATAAATGAAAAAAGATTTTAGGAATCTAGCATATGTCTGGTTCATAATAAAGGCCCTATGGACACTGCTGTAGGGATGTAGTTAGTGGGCAGGAGGCCTTACTGGGTAGGGTCTCCACTTGTGTTTCAGCCCCAGCTTGTGATACACACTCGCCTGGGGATAGGGGTTCCACACATATGCGCCAACTACAGGCAAGGGCTGCCTGGGGTGCCGCACTGTGGGTACTGGATGGGGCCTGGTAGGTTCGGGAATGGGCAGAGCCAGGGATGGCATGATGACTCTGAGACTCCCTTTCCTGTATTCTGGCTGTGTCTGCGCATGTGCATGCATGGGGTGGGGGTGGGGGTGGGCATCTGAACCTGTTGATGCAGCTATCAGCCTACTTTGGAGTCATCTGTAAGATTGTTCTGGGATGTTGGGTACCTTTGCACAATCACACTCAGAGAACTAGGGTCACATCTGGAGGTGGGGGGGCACGACTTAGTACAACATTCTCCTGGGACTCAGCGCAAGGTGCTGACTCCCGGGGCACACCACAGGCATCTGAGAAGATGCAGTGCAGCACATATAGGGGAACTGCCTGCCACCTGGCCCATCTATGAAGCCATGGAGGTTTTTGAATCTTTCTGGGATCAACCCCCGAATCTGTGTGTGGGGGTGCCACCAAAGATCATAAAACTTGAGGGAGTTCCCTTTCTCCTCCTTGGGGGCCCTGGTGGCCTAAGTGGTAATCTGTGCCCTACAGGAAGTAACTGGAAGCATCCTGATTTCCCCTATCAGAACAGCAATCCCAGATCCCACCCGGGCCCTGCCCTTGGAAAGTCCCAAGTTGGGAAGACAGACCAAGTCCCATAGGATTCAGATGGCCTCACCATGTGCGCAGCCAGCCTGACCATAATGGCTCAAGATCTAGGGAGCCAGGCTTGCTTGCCATAGCTTTGGGGCCTTGTTCGTTTACTCAAAAGTGATATGAAAGCCTCAGTTCAGAGCGGCAAACAAGACAGACACACACCCCGGCCCTTTCATTTCAGCAGAGGAGATGCTAAGCACTAACTGCAGGCTAACTTATTTACAGTTAGCACTAAGGGCTGGGGAGAGATACAAGCTGTGAGGTGGTGTGAACGGGGAAGGTTCCAGAAGTCAGGCTGCTGGGTTCTCCTGCAGGAGGAGCTCAAGGTCCCTGAGACAGGGCAAGCCAGGAGAGAGCACCCCAGACTGAAGCAGTGTGTGGGGATGGTGGTGGTGGTGGTGGTGGTACAGCAGCAAAGGAACCAAGGTGCTCCTTAGGTTAGCATCCATACAGTCGGGGGTCGGGGTGGGACACCAGGGCAGTTGCAGAGGCTATTCGGCCCAGGGTCAGAGATGTGGCTCTAGCCAGAAAACAAGTGGGTGCCCTCAGAGGGTTTAGAGGGCAGAACCCAGTCAGACCCGTTCTTCCATAAGCTGGGGAGGGCAAGGACTAAGCTGAGGGTTGCCAGGGCATGGGGTAAGTGCAGAATGCAGCAGGGAGGAAGGGGAGGGGCAGCTCACAGGGTGGAGGCCCTGGGCTAAGGTTTGGGGTGGGGCCACTTGAAGAGTGTGTGTGGGGACTGGGAGCAGCTCTTGAGTAGTTTGAGGATCACTCCCCTTACCACTGCAGCTCCCTTTCCTAATCTTTTGGGCAGGCCAGCCTGATGCCACTGTCCTGCTCCCACAGGACTGAGTAGTTTGGGGGTGGTGGTGGTGGTGGTGGTAAGTAGGTGAAGCTCACCAAACCCAAACCCCAAACTACACTTCTTCAGCCAAGATCAGACAGCCGCACATGGTGGTGGCAGCTGGGGGGACAACCTGGGAGGCCCCCCTGAGCTGGTACTTCCCACAGTGGAGACTTGCTCACCTGCTCACTAACTCCTGCAACCACCTACGCATTCATCAGGCATCCTGGGACCTGAGATGGGGTGTCTGCCCAGGCCTGACCTGGGAACCACAGGCTGGTCAAGTCGAGCCAGAGCATGACCTCTAGGCACTGCGAAGGACCCAGCAGGAAGACCTGCCGCCCACCCTGCCCACGCCCCATTCAGTCTCTCGCAGGAACCGTCTGCTGCTGCTGGACCTGGCTTTGTGGACCTGGGTGTGGCCTCATCACTGTGCCCTGAAGTACACTGGTGCCAGGCCTGAATTCTTCCATGGAAAACATAATCAACAATAAATATACATGAATGGCCAAGTGAGCCTGGCTTGCTGGCCACAACTGTCCTCACCTTTCCTGGGAAGGGGTCTCCTGTCCAAGGATCAAAAGTGGGGTCTGCTCTACCTGCCACCAGAAAGCTCGAGGGAAACAAACAGGGCAAGGGTGCAGCATTCTGCTGGGCCCTGGTCATGACATTAGGCCCAGTCCACCTTGCCCACCTCCATCCTGCTTCTTCCCTGCCCTGAGAACCAAAGCTCCCCCTACTTCTTCCCCTCTTCCCCAGTGCCTCTTCTCTCCAGGCATTGACCATGCTCTGGATTACATCAGCAGGCTTCTTCCCTGCAGGGCCTTGGTTTTGCAAATAGATTGTTCCTTCTATCTTTGGCCAGAGCTCCTGCCAAGTCTCCCACACCATAAGTCTCAGCAGGGTCCAGCAACACTTTCTCTCTCCTTCAGGCCCCGGGGCTCTGAGCATGCCATCTGCGCTGGATACACCACCCTTGAAGCCCCCGCTCAAGCTCCCATCTCCCAACCTCTTAAGGTCACACTAGCTTCTCACCTGGGCCCTTAAAGCTTTTCCTGCCAGTGCAAGTTGAGATTAGACCACCAGGTGAACTACAGTGGTTCTTCAGTGTAGGAAAAGTGTCCACATCCTGTAAGCACCTCCAGTGGTGAGATGTGGCCTGATTCCCCCAGCCTGCTGGTATTCAAAGACCATGGAGGAATATCCCATTTATTTAACAGCACGTCCTCTTGGCCAGGCCCTTTTGTTCATAGCTCACGCAACCCCCAAATCCTGCCAGGTAATTTAAGCATCCCCATTTTTCACCTGAGGAAACCAAGGCTCAGCTTCAAAAGGGACTTGCTCAAGGTCACTGGGACGATGGGCTGGGGTAAAATCTAGGCTGTTTAATTCCAAAGTCTATGATTCACTGACATGTGGCCATGGGTCCAGAGGCACCGAGAGCCCCTACAGTCAACATCAGGGTGGTGCTTGCATGAGCTGCATCTGTCCTTGTGATGAGTCCCTCAGGAGTGGCCTGGGTTGAGTGTTGCCCTCCACATCTGCAGCACAGAATCCCGGCGGGTTGTGTAGGGTAAATGTTTGATGCGAAACCAGTGTCTGGGAACGATGTTCCCACTGGGCGTATACAGCTGCTCTCCATGCTTGCCCAAGAGACTGCGCAGGGCTATGTTGCCCGACAAAATCTTCTCATAGAACTCCACTCCACCCTGGGCATAGGCTGCAGACAGCGCAGCTGTGCGGCGGTCGAGCCAGGCTTCCAGCGCATGAGTGAGAGAGTCCGTGGAGAAGGCATAGGCCACAAAGCCCGCCACTGCTGCTGCCAGGTTGAAGGCAGCCCGTAAATTCATGGGGCCTCCATAGAGCCCCAGTGCATGCTTGGCACCCACGCCCAGCGCCCAGGTTCCTGCCAGGCAAGCTGGGGCCAACAGGGCCTGTAGGGCGGCTGTACTGCTCTCCAGGTATACCACTTCCTTGGCCAAGGCAAACTTCTGGGCGTCGCGGGACAGGGTCAGGGCATCTCTCAGCCGGGTGCCTGCTGGGCTCTGCCAATTGACTCTTTGCCCGTGTACAACTACTGGGTGATCATTGTCGATCAACGTGCCACCCAGGAAGGTGGCTGGGATGCCCACTGTCGCCCCAGCAGGGAGTCGCGGGAAGCCAGCACTCACAGGCTGGAAGGTGAATGAGGTGAAAGCCTCATAGCTATGGCCCGAGGGGACACCCACGTCCTGGAGTACCTCTTGGAAGAGGCTCTGCAGCTCTGGGGAGAGCGGAGCTGGCTGGCCCTGAGGCCAGTACTGGTACAGCCACCGGATCACAGGATCTGGGAAGAGGTGGTATGAGATCTGGGCCCCGAACAGGCCGGCACAGGAACCCACCAACAGGCCTGCTCTGTGTCTCTGTACGAATGCTGCGGCCCGCCACAGGGGACCTGCCATGAGTGTGGCCACCGATGTGAACCTGGGTCAAGAAAAAGAGAAGATAGCCAATAGTTCCCTGGGTCGGCCTGCACACTGAACATATCCCAAGATCACATCCTTTTTAGCGAGGGCAATACAGCAAGGTGGTTAAGAACATGAGCTCTAGGGATGCCTGGGTGGCTCAGCGGTTGGGCATCTGCCTTTGGCTCAGGTCATGATCCTGGAGACCCGGGATTGGGTTCCGCATCGGGCTCCCTGCATGGAGTCTGCTTCTCCCTCTGTCTGTCTCTGCCTCTCTCTCTGTCTCTCTCATGAATAAATAAAATCTAAAAAAAAAAAAAAAAGAACATGAGCTCTAGAGCCAGAGTTCAAATCCAACCTCCATCTCTGTGCATCACCTTCTCCATCTGCCCAACAGGCTTCCGACGATGGCATCAAGAGAGTGGCTGTGAGGAGTATATGACTGAACACACATAAAGTAACTAGTGTGGCACAGCAGCAGACACCCCTTGTGATGATGCTGTGATTATTCCCATGGCTAGACACCAGCAGGAAGTACCCAACTGCCTCACTCCGCTATTCATCCCATAGAGAAGCCGTATGATTGCTAATTTATGGGTGAAACCTAAGTTCAACTTACTGATTACTTCCTATATGCTAAACACAATTCTGAGAGCTTTATATATACTGAACGACTGAATCCTCACAACTCCATAACCTAATTACTACTATTGCTCCTATTTTAAAGCCCTGGAAACCGAGGCACAGATAAGCTAAGCAAGTTGGAAGCCCCAAAATCGCAAAGTGACAGCGCTGCAGGCTGAGTCGTGTCCCCTTCAAATTCATATGCTGAAGCCTTAATTCTCCGTCTCTCACAATGTAACTGTATTTAGAGATGGGGTTTTTAAAGAGGTAATCAAGTTAAAGTGAGGTCATTAGGGTAGGTCCTCTTCTGACCGGTGTCCTTAAGGGAACAGATTAGGACACAGACACTTAGGGGGGCAGCCCACGAAGGGACACAAGCCAGAAGGTGACTGTCTACAAGCCAAGGGGAGCGCTCTCGGGACCTTCATCTTGGACTTTGAGCCTCCAGACCTGAGAAAACAAGTTTCCGCCACCCAGTACTTGCCCCGCAGCGCCGGCTGGCTAACACCGGTCCAGTATGGGAACACAGGTTATCAAGGGTTCACAGCAAACTTCATTCCCGAAAACATTTTGAATGCTGAATCACAAACATACACAAAGCAGACAAAATAGCACATTAGCCATCTTCAACCAACCCGTGGCCAATCTTGTTTCCTCTTCTCCCACCCACATTCCTCTTCCAACTGGTTTATTTGGAAACACATCCCAGGCGTCCTCTCCCTTCATCCGTAAATACTGCAGCAAGAATTCACAACTATTTTACTCTGGCTGAAGCCTACGGTCTTCCTGCCTGCGACACGCGTCTCATTAGCAAGTAAGTTGCCGCGAACAAGAACGCGGGGCACCCCTGGCGTTTTAACAAGAGCTCCCGGAAGGACACGTCGCTTGGGGCTACCTTCCCGAGAGACAGGCGAGGACCGCAAGGGTCCTGGACAGAGTCCCAAGGCCCCCAGCGCCGAGGCCGCGCTCCAGGCTGGGCGACCAGGGGCTACGGCGCCCCTCCCGGGCCCCCAGGCTGCGCCCCGCAGTTCGAGCCGGCGGCCGGAGGCGATGCTGGGGTGGGGGCCCGGCGGCCCCGCGAACTCCGCCGCCCACCAGGCACTCACCTCCGCCGCCGCCGCAACCCGGGACCCGGCGGCACGTGCGCCCGCGGGAGGGGGGGCGGGGCGTGCGCGGCGTACGTCGGCCCGCGCTCTGGGGGCGGGGACTATAGGGGCGGGACGTGCGCGGCGCACGTCGGCTCGGCCCCTGGGGGCGGGGACTATTGGGGGCGGGGCAGGCGCGGTGCACGTCGGCCCGCGCTCTGGGGGCGGGGGCTATAGGGGGTGGGACATGCGCGGTGCACATCGGCTCGGCCCTGGGGGCGGGGACTATAGGGAGCAGGGACTATAGGGAGCAGGGACCATAGGGGCGGGGCGTGCGCGGTGCACGTCGGCCCGCGCTCTGGGGGCGAGGACTATAGGGGGCGGGGACCATAGGGGCGGGGCGTGCGCGGTGCACGTGGGCCGGCGCTCTGGGGGCGGGGACCATAGGGGGACGTGCGCGGTGCACGTCGGCCCGCGCTCTGGGGGCGGGGACTATAGGGGGCGGGGACCATAAGGGCGGGGGGTGCGCGGTGCACGTCGGCCAGAGCTCTGGGGGCGGGGACCATAGGGGCGGGGACCATAGGGGCGGGGACCATAGGGGCGGGGCGTGCACGGTGCACGTCGGCCCGAGCTCTGGGGGCGGGGACCATAGGGCGGGACCATAGGGGCGGGGACCATAGGGGCGGGGCGTGCACGGTGCACGTCGGCCCGAGCTCTGGGGCGGGGACCATAGGGGCGGGGACCATAGGGGCGGGGGTGCGCGGGCACGTCGGCCCGCGCTCTGGGGGCGGGGATTCGGGGGCGGGGCCGGAGCCGGGGCGCGGGTACTAACCCGCCGGCGACTGGGGCGCGGGAGCAGGAGGTTTCTCTGCTACTGCCCCTTGGAGCGGGGCTGCAATATGCGACTTCCTCGCCTCGGGATGAGCGAAGCGGGCTGGGTCACCCGAAACAGCGGCCCTGCGTGGGTCAGGAGGTGGCCTACGGCTGAGCCCCCATCGGAGCCCATGCCCACCTGACTGCCGGGTCCGTGGCCTTTTCTGTCTGGAAGCGTTCACCGCCGGTGGGCTGGTCTGGGCTTTATTCTGTTAACATTTGTAAATAAAGTTTTTTTTTAAAGATTTTATTTATTTATGATAGATAGAGAAGAGAGAGAGGCAGAGACACAGGCAGAAGGAGAAGCAGGCTCCATGCAGGGAGCCTGACGCGGGACTCGATCCTCGGACTCCAGGATCGCGCCCTGGGCCAAAGGCAGGCGCCAAATCGCTGAGCCACCCAGGGATCCCTGTAAATAAAGTTTTATTGGGAAGACAGCCATGTCTGTTTCTTTAAAGTCACCTATGGCTGCTTTCCTCCAGAAGGGCAGAGTTGAGTAGCCAGGACAGACACAGTCTGACCTAGAAAGCCTACACTTTTGACTATCTGGCTCTTAGAGAAAAGGTCTGTGGACACAGGAAGTCCATTATTCCCATTTTACAGATGAAGAAACGGAAGCATTTAGCTTGAGCAGGGTGCCTAGAGCATATGCACCTAGCATGCACCCGAGTGGCACAGGACTCCTGTCCCTGTACATTTCCCATGACATCACCTGCCTCCAGACAAATTCAGTCTAGTGGGTCTTGTGAATTCTCCCAAGAGGGCCTGGCCTCTGTCTCTGACTCTCTCTTCCATCCAAGCCCTGGGGTAAAGGGTGGGGAGGTCTTAGCTCCTGGGTGGAAAGATGAGGCTGCAAGGGAAGGTGAGGATGTATGGAGACCCAGAAGCCTATGGGCATTGGGATGGGGCTTTGGACAGTTAGCAAGCAGGCTGTGGACTCTTGTGTCTCCAGACAAGCCACAAGCTCAGCCCTCTCTGCAGAGCTTTTGACCACAAAAGGACCAGCTGCAATGATCAGTTGGGACCATACCTGATTCCCAGCTAACCCTCTGTGTGTAGCATCCCATGGCGTTTCCTGTCTTAGGTGTGGCCCAGCAGCCCCTTTTTGGAGCTATAAGCTGGCCTGGCAGAGATAACCCTGCTGATACTAGAGAAGAACCGAGAGGGTGGTCCTGGCTGGTCCCTCAGCCCAGAAGTAGTTCTTAGGGAGACTGCAGCCTAGGGAAAGAGACCTTTCTTAAGAGGCAGGGGGCTCTTGTGTAAAGGACATCACCCGTCTGGACCTTGGTTTCCTCATCTCATGCTTCATCCCACCTAACAAAATAAGACTGAAGATAATATCAGTCTCAAAGGACCTTATTACATCCAATCCTAGAAGTTTCCTAGATACTCTCATCTGTTTAACTAAAGTGGGGAGGCAACTTCAAATTGCATGCACTTGAACCTCCCTTCAATCTTGGCCTTGAAAGGCTGTCATAAAGCATTCTGTGACCAGATGTAAATCTAGCACAGCTGCTGAAGCCAAAGTATTTGGGTTAGATCCTGGCTCCACCTCTTCCTAGCTGTGTGACTTTTGGAAAGTTAACCTCTCTGGGCCTAGTATTCTCATCAATAAGATGAGATGAGAGTACCACCTACCCCCGGGGTTATTATGGGGATTCAATGAGCTCATTTATGTGTAATGCCCAGCACAGTGTGTACCATATAGCTATTAGCTAGGATTACTGAGAACTGTTCTGGTTCTGAGACTCCACCTCTGGCTGCCCATTTGTATGTAAATGTTGCTATAACATGCTTTCATATGTGATCTCAGCTAGATTTGGAATGTGGGATAGTCTACAGGGCAAATGATGTGGTTTCTCTAACAAATCAATGGCATAAAAAATAATGGAAGGAGACATCAAATAAGATATGAAAGATGCAGCAGTTAAATCCCAGCATGGCTTTTGCTGGGATCCTGAATCAATAGTTTACTTACTGTAAAAGAGACACTTTTGAGACAACCAAAGAGATCTGAATATGGATTGAATATCAGGTGATGTTAATGAATTGCTTATTTTGTTAGGTTGGATGATGTATATTTATGGAAACCAAAAAGTTCTTATCAGTTAGAGATGCATTTTGAAGTATTTATAGGTGCAATGACATGATGTTTGCTATTTAGTTCAAAATATTACAGTCAAAACAAAACCACTACCACCACCATGAAAACCAGGGGCATAGATGAAACAACATCGACAAAATGTTGGAAGTTGTTTAAGCTTTGTGTCAAGTTTGGGGGATTCATTATACTGTGCTCTATGTATGTTTGCAAATTTCCATAATCAAATGTTATTTTTTTTTTTTAAGATTTATTTATTCAGAGAGAGAGAGAGGCAGAGACACAGGCAGAGGGAGAAGCAGGCTCCATGCAGGGAGCCCGACATGGGACTCGATCCTGGGTCTCCAGGATCACACCCCGGGCTGCAGGCGGCGCTAAACCACTGCGCCACTGGGGCTGCCCTCAAATGTTATTTTTTTAATGTATGTTTAATGTACGCTGACCAATTTGACTTCATCTATTTAAAAACTTTTGAGCATCAAAGAACATTATCAAGAAATGAAAAGATAGTTCACAGAATGGGAGAAAATATTTGCAAATCATAGATACCATAAGGGCCTAGTTTCCAGAATATATAAGAACTCAACAACTCAACAACAAAAAGACAATTGACCCAATTTAAAAATGAACAACAAAAAAAAATGAACAAATGACTTGAAGAGACACTCCTTCAAAGAAGATAGATATACGGATGGCCAACAAGCACATAAAAAGATGCTCAGCATCCCTAGTCATTAGGAGAATACAAGTCAAATTCATATGAGATACTTCTTCACTCATTGAGACAGCCATAAAAAAACAAAAAGAATAACAAAAAACAACAGACAAGGGCGAGGATGTGCAGAAACTGAAGCTCTCATACATTGGGAGAGCTCTTGTACAGTAGGAATGTGAAATGGCTCAGCCACTGTAGAACACAGTTCGGCAGCTCCTCATAAAGTTAAAAACAGAATTACCATATGATCTGGCAATTCTACTCCTATGAATACAGACAACTCTCTTAACTGTGAAGGATGGAGTCAAAGAAAGCGTTTGTTCTGTTTTGTTTGGCATGTTTACAAGGATAATGATCTCACTGAGAAATATTATGCTGAGATTATCTCATTGAGAGAGACAAATTGATGATAGCAGAGAGAGGGGATCCTTCAAGGAAAGGATTCTTTAGGTAGGTGAGAGGGGATGGGGTCCAGGGCGTGAGTAGGAGGAGAAGTGGGATAAAGAGCAATTCTTCACAGTAATAAGAGGAAAGTTGCCATCATATTACTATGCTGTAACATTAAACTTACACAATATTATATCTCTATTATATCTCAATAACGCTGAAAAAAGGGGGGGAAAGCTGTGATTAGTGCACCCAGGCTAGTGATTTCAGGGTGGGAAGATAAAGAAGAGGCTGTTCTTACCTGATTGCTACTTTGTTTTCTCAGTGACACATCGGGGAAACTCAGCTAAAAGCATAGTGAGTGGGGTGATGAAAGTATGAAGAAAGCAGAAAAGATGTGTAATTACCACATGAAGAGAAGGAAAGAACCCACCAGGAAACTGTAATGATTGTTGGATAGCATTGAGTGCCCACTTGAAATCTGGATCAAAAACACAGTATGAGACTGCGGTGACTGGGTGGCCCAGTCAGTTAAGCATCCAACTCTTGGTTTTGGCTCAGGTCATGTTCTCAGGGTTGTGGGATTGAGCCCCACGTCGGGCTCCATGCTGAACATGGAAGCTGCTTGGGATTTTTTCTCTCCCTTCCCCCTACCCCCAATGCTTGAATGTGTGTCCTCACTCTCTGTCTCTCTCAAAAGCAAAACAAAACACAATGTGAGACAGTTATTGTGATTTTTTTTGTGATTTTTTTCCAACAATGTTCAGGTGCTCAGGTGCAGGGAGGGGTGGATGGATAGTTGAAGGGTTTAGGCAGAGGTAGAGTTTGCCAGTCAAGCACAGGGTGGGGAAAAATGGACAAGGGAGGTGAGGGTGTTTGCAAAGAAGTGGTTATATAGTGATGGACCATGAACTCTAAGCTAGAGAAGAGGACAGTGAA